GCGAATTTTTCATAAGTGGTTTCACAAGATATTTATTAAAGAAGTAAACATAAAGAATTCCTTTGTTTTTAAATTTATCATTAAAAAATATATTTTTTGTTAAACAGGTTACCGATTTCATTAGAAAATAAATTGCGTCCGAAGGCTCTTCGACTTATTGACAACAGTTCTCGGTGCATGAGACCGATAGAAAAACTTCAAAGGGATGATGGAAACATTCTTGAATATTTCTTTCCACCAAATGTAACAGCAGCTGTGCAACCAATGTTCCAAAATCCTATAAGGTTGACAAAACTTAATTATAGAAATAAGCTTCTTGCCGAATTTATTGCTAAAGGTGGTGAAGTAATAAATTTTTTAAATTATCATTCCATTCGAAATCCAATAATTTCTCTGAAACAGACTTGAGATGAGATGCCCCGAAAATTATTAAAAAATTCTTGGTCCAAGTTATGATATTGTGACTCTGATCATTATGACAGCGATGATGATATGCCACTTGCGCATTTAATTAAGGAAAATGAGAACTACACTAAAGCTATCCAAAGAAATGTGGCTCTTCTAGCCAATTTGGACTCAAATAATTCGATCTGTATAAAGCATATCGAAGAATGGAACAGAGATGTTATTCATGACGGATCTGAATATGAGTGCAATAGCGATGATGGTACTTTAAATAATAATGAAGATGACGTTCCTAATCCCCCAGCAAATGTTCTGAAGCAATTAAAATCCTCAATATTTTAATAAATTGGTGCAAAAAGAATGACCCATTTCTTACTGACCACATGACCAATCTTTTAACGCTCCGTAACGATATCATTATAAAAAATGTGACTAAACCTAAAAAACAATCAAACTACCGATCACTTCAAACAATAATACATAATTAAAATTGATTTCAACTGTAAGTAAAGTTTTTATGTAGAGTTTTAAGTTTTTGATAGTTTTTATACGAATTAAAAAAGTCTAGAAATTAAAACTTTTCGCAAATTCGAACTACTCAAAAAACCAAATGGTTCTAATTTGCGAGATTCTACTATATTCAAAATGCAGCTTGAAGACAAATGCCAGTTCTATACAAAGCAGGAAAAAATATAATATATTTAATAAGTCATAAGCGCAAACTTTGGCAATAAAGAAGATCGGCATTGAATAAATTAAAATCAAACAAAATTACCAAAAGGTTATATTTTAAAATTAAAGCGTTTAAAAATTACTCATTTAATAACATTCTAATTGGGCTTACAGCCAAAAGTAACACGGGTTACTCCTATTACTTTTTTTATTAATAAAAATCAATGAAAATTTAAAACTTTTTGATCGCAAAGACAAGCACTCAGAAAGTATATCTGTTTGCTGATCATCTAAATGATATAATATTTTCGAAAAACAATTGCAATCCCGCTTGTTACAAATAAAAATTAATCCTTGCCCACTAATTCGGATTTTGTAAAACGTACTTAGCAATTGACCAAGCACATAGAGTGGTAAGTTCAATTGAATCCGCAATGGAGACAAAAAGATATGTTGAGCGTATTTCTAAATTCAGTGCTTTAACACTATTTTTATCCAGTTAATGATGCGATTTTTAATCAACAAAAATTTTTTTTAGATAAATGCTTAATTTGCTTTTAACTTCATTTTATTTCATTTTAGTTTCTCTTATATTTCAATTTTTAAAATTAATAACCCAAAAAAAAATTAAATTTGGCTGAACAAAATTATCTGCACAGTTAATGCAAAAATTAAAAAACAAATTTAAAAAAAATATTTACGATAACAATTAATATGTCGTGGTCAAGTCCTTTTGTTTGATACCGGCTTCTAGTCGCCTTATTATCGATAAAACCAATTTTTGTGTGGTTTCTGGCCCAATATTTTGCCACTCTTCAAGCAGAGCCACCTTCAGTGCTGATTTTGTTGTATAGTGTGCTTCTTTAGTCGTCTATCCAATTCTTCCCACAAATGTTCAATGGGGTTGAGATCTAGAGATTGAGGTGTATGCGGTAATGTGTGTTTACATGATGAGTGAGGCACATACGCACAACATAAGACGTATGTTTTGGGTCATTATCATGTTGGAAGCTAAATGTGACAAGTAAACTCAAGTTTTAGGCAATTTTTTTGATGTTTCTCTTGAGGATGTCTAAACAATATTTTTTGTCCATAATGCCGTCAATGAATTCCAATTCGCCGACCCCTGCAACGGACATACAGCCATGTACAAACACTTCTCCACCACAATGTTTCACAGACATTGCAAGATTTTCTTTTTGCAGTTCGGTGTTTAGTTTACTCCAAACTATTTAGTGGCCATCAGATCGAAAGATATTAAATTTATTTTTATCTGCGAAGATAACATTATTCCAAAACTGGATTGGCTTGCTTAAGTACGCTTTTGCAGAAGCTAGACGTTTCTGTTGGTTGGCTTTCGGTTTTCGTCTAGTGACACGACTGTTATAACTAGCCAAACTCTCGCCTAACCTCAGCTGGAATTTGGATTGAAGATATTTTTGGGTTGACCTTCACCTTTCTTATTATTATGTTGCGATCACGGTCGCTCAAGGCTTTAGGTCGCCTGTGTGCTATGCACTTTTGAACGATATCACCCCTTTGCTACTCTGCACAATATTTCGAATGGTATAGCGCTTCTATCCATTATTTTTCCAATCTCCGTATAAGATTTGCCTTGGTCGTACAAATATAGATTTACTTTGCGCTGAGATTCGGTGGTTTCTTTTTGTTTTTGTTCATTTTGTTTTTGTTCAGCCGCAAAGACGTTTTTAATTAGAAACTGATTCACTATGGCATTCATAATGTAGAGACAACGAGTCGTGGTGTTAGCGAGGTCTCTGTTGACGTTAGTTCATAAGGTACGTATTCTCATGAGGTTCCCACCAAGCCTATCGAGTATATAATCGAATTTTCTTCATGCACCTCTAGCTCTGGAGATTGTTGTACATTTTGTATTTGCCGTTGTACGTTTCCTTGGTCTTGTATGTTATAGAATATGTATTGGAAATTCGATGTTTACTAAGTCCTTGTTTACTTTTTTCGATAGGCGTAACGCGTTGCAGATCTTGCTGTGGTTGTATTTCATGCGCTTGAATTTAACTTTGCATAACTCGGGCTGGATAAAATACTTCTGAATTTTCTCGAATGATGCGTTGCAGTGCTTGTTGTTGAGGTATGAGACATTTATCGGCTTGTGTTTGTGAAGTTTATTTCAGTGGTATCGGATGCTGTTCTAGATAATTTCGATCCTGCATGATTCGCATTGTTAAATGTAGGTTGGACTGATTCTGTTCCTGACTGCTCTGCTTCTTTTGTTGGACATGTTCTTCGGTATTTTCCTTGGTTGCACTCATATCATAGTATACTGCAATGGGATTGCTTGCTTGAATTCAACTACCACCTGCCTCATGCTCGTTTCTTGTTCATTGCTTTGACTTGCTTTGATCTGCTCTATTTGAAGTGCTTCAAAGTCATCAACTACTGTCATTAATTCATCTAAGATCTCCTCGTCTCCGACGTACCTTTGGTAATCAGCGTTCATGTTGCGATATATTCGCTTTGTTGAGAATCTTGAATAATACAGGCTCGTTGCATTAGAGTTTTGATGTCAAATAAATAATCTCAAAAACTTTCTTTTGATTTTAGAAGTCGTGTTCATACCTCGTTCTCTAGCTTATCGAAGTATCTAGATTAGGTAAAGAACTTTAAAAAATCAACTTTAAAACTTGTCGAGAGTTGCCAACGAAAATTGTTGTTGCGATACCATGTCAGCGCCTTATTTTCAAGAAGGACATTGCGCGAGAAATTGAGTTTACATCAATGCTGTACATATCTGCTAGTTCTTTGTGCTCGATAAAACCCAATGGATCCTTGCCACCGTCATATCTGCAGAACCATTTCTGTACTTATTCCACTATCTGTAGATTTGAGTACACTGGAGGATTTATAGAACTTATATCATTCTCTGGTATTCCTCTTGATTCCGCCGACATTGTTCCTCTTGCAATATTCAGTAATATTCTCTCTTATCTAGTTCTTTAATTTTCCCTTCCATTATAGTCTTGACTTCCGTGTTTGACCAACCAGGTCCCTGCTTGGGCGCCAATTGTAACGACATGTTTTTGTCCGTTGCTAACATTGAGGTATATTTAGCCGTTGTCCAGGGATTGTTGCAATATAATTTTTATTTTCGGGAGTCAAAGACAATTTAATGGATTTTGTTTATTTAAAAGAAAATTCAAAAAGAAAAAGAAATTGATATAATTATAATATATTATTAGTTTAATATGTTCAATATGTTTGTGTAAGATTGTGTTTTGATAATTTGTGCAGACGTTGTATTTATGCTCTCGAACGGATGTATGGAACTATCTTTACGTGATACAAGACTATTAGTCAAGATGAATGTAACTACCTTGACGTGATACAAGACTACTAGTCAAGATGTATGTAACTACCTTGACGTGATACAAGATCACTAGTCAAGATGTATGTTACTTCCTTGACGTGATTTATATAACGTATATAACTATCTAGACGTGACACAAGACTACTAGTCAAGATGTATGTAACTACCTTGACTACAGTTCTACTAACTTGTTTACAAAAACTTATTACTACCTTTGAGAGTTTCTCAACAAGTGATTTTTATTTATACTAAATCGAACGAAGCTTTTCCCGTGGCGCGTACATTGCTTCAACTGTTATTTGTTTTAATTACCGTTTGTTAAAATTCGCCTTACCTATTTATTTATTATTATACTTGTGTTAGTTGATATTTTTGTCTCACTTGTTTTCTTTTCTCACCTTTCCCTTATCTTCTGATGCAGGCTTGTGTTATATTCGCGGCGAAAAATGGCATGCACCAGAATTATGTTTTGACATTTGACATTTGTGAATTTATAGTGCTTTGAAATTTAGTGTGAAATTTAATTCACACTTTAATAATATTAATTTGTTCTAACAGGATGTAATATTCTGAGAATAAATTTGAGTTTGTGTTTTAAATAAAATAAATTTTATTAAATAATTTTATTTCAGTGATACCAAAAAAATTTCAGTTATGTCGGTAGATTGCTTTCGATACATCATGTTTTAATATCTACACAAATCAAATTATTTTCTCATAATGCAACAGTTCATTTACTGGTAACTCAGTAAATGAACTCGTACTTGTTTCGGATAGCAATAAAACAGCTTTGTTCTTTTTAGGAGCGCTAAGAGATTTTATATTTCATTCAATACAATTTAACGGTTATTATACCACACAAATTATTCATGTAAAGAAAATACAAACCACTTTTTAGCTGATAGCTGGGGCAAAGCCATAATTCATTGGCAGACAAAATTTATAAAGCCGGTAATGAGAAAAATTGTTTTGTATAAAACATACAAAAAACCATTGTCAAATAAATTACTTTTCTTATAGACAAATAACATTTAAAACACTCCCAAAGTTCGATTGTAGTGGGCCTTAAAGACCCCTCAAGTCCATTTATTCGCGAGCAATTTATAAGTACTTCTAAGGGCATACTACTTTTTTGGGAAATGACTTTTACACATTGCTTTCGATGAGTTTTCTCTCAAATTGAAGTCAGTTACGCTCCTAGGCAACTCTTTTTGTAATTTTGAATTACTTAGGGCCATGTTATGCAGAGTGTCTCGGGCACGGCATGAGTACAATTGTTTTTGTTTTCAATGCAAATTTTAAATTTGAGAGTGAGAGAAAAAACAATATGGCCGTTCGAACTCCGGCATGAGAGCCGGCGTATTTGTGCCCCGGCACTAAGGCAAAACAGTGTTGTTTAGTAATAAATTTCAAAATTTGTGCCTTTTAGGAGCAAACTACTACAATTCTAGTACGTTTTGGAGAAAAAATGGCAGTAAGCAACACAGCATTTTTTTTACAAATCGCTAATAATATAATTATTACACTTTCCGATTTTAAAGAAACGCGTAAGTACTGTTAACAATTATTATAAGTTAATATAATAATAAATTAACATTATTACAGCCTCTATGAGTTTTTTTTATGCGAGTTATTTTTGGTGGTAAATTGAAAGTGAGCATATCTAAATTTCCTTTAAAATTTAGGCACAACCAAGAAGTAGTAAAAATACAAAATTGGCAATACTGATGTGACACTCTGCATAACATGCATTTTCGGCATAGCCCGAAAGAGCGTAATTTGCCGTGCCCGAGACACTCTGCATAACATGGCCCTTACGAAGGTACTTTAACATTTGCATTTGTTAGTATTTACATTGCTACCAAAATATTTGTTTTTTTTTTGTGGTACACTTCACTGTCATATTGCACGTCTTCATAATATCATCTTAAATTTTCTCAAGATATATTGACAAAAACATTACTAAATTTAAACAAACCAAATTTAAATAGCAGTATGACAAACAAATCGTATATTAGATATTTTAATATGTAACCCAAGAATTTTATTTAATTGGTTTCGCATATTTGCAGTGCTTACCATAAAAAAAATTACTTTTTCCAGAGCCATTTCTTCCAACAACAACATTGTGCCTCTTATCAAATGGCTCTACTACCGTTTGATCTTTATAACTCTTGAAGCCTTGAATTATTATCTAAAATTATATTAATTAGTACCTATGTTATCACATATATCACATATTTTATACTTGTCTAATATGCATTGTTCAATTTGAAATCTATGTACTATATACAAATCACTACGAGGACTTATTATTGACGCGATTCACAAAGCCAACTATGCAACGTTAATCATAGGAACGCTGAATTTAAAAATATTGCCAGATAATTATGATTATATATCAGAGAACTACTTGTAAGGAACGAAGACTTTTATTCAGAGAAGATCTTATAGAGAACGGAGTGCTTCTAGTTTTGAAAATAAGCAAAGAATTCTTTTCTGAAAACAAATATTTATTTTTCATTTTTAACACACGTATTAAGTATACGTAACTATACCACCCAATGTCACTCTTTCACTATTTTACGCAATTTTAATACTCATATATATACATTATATATATAATGTATAATAATGTATATCCTCATATATATAGTATATATATTATATAATTTAATTATAAAGATAAACGAATTTAATTAATTTTAATGAATTGATATGCAAAATATCCTGATTGCAATTGTGACAGTACTTATAAAAAGTAAAGTACTTATATAACATAAATATAAATGCAAATAAAAAAGTTTAACTCGATCGTATATCTCTTATTTGATATTTATAACCGCTTATGCAAGGCACCAACGATTATAGCTAGACAAATAAATATTTGTAAAAGAATTATTATTAAATAAGCTTTTAAAATATATTATTATTACCGATATTTCAATTACAGAGCAGAAAAAAATACTTGTAACTTGCTCAATGCTATTAAAGTCTTGAAAGTAAGACATTGCTGGCAAAAATATTTACGTCTTAAGTTTTAGAGCAATCAAATTCTAAAATCAATTTGTTGTGAATGTTCACTGGAAAATTATGTCAATGTTGTAAAATTTCAGTCGTCCCTTAAAATCTTAGGAGGATTTCATTTACCAATACATTTAAATGCATAAATAAATTAATTTGTTTATATATACCATATAAGATAAATATATATAAATATATAAAATAAAAGATCCAAACCATTGCTCTTCTATTATTAATTTTGTTTTATTTTTTTAAAATTAATTAATTTTTAGTATTTATAGTTTTTATAACTCATATTGTACACAACACAATAAAAAAATATGTCAAAAATAAGCATTTAACATATTTAAAATGTGATACCAATTTGCTTCAACCAGACAATGCTGTTTCTTACAACTCTGAAATTACGACTAATATACCAACAAATTGGAATATAAAGGACTATTTCTGCTACGCAATTTAAAATTCATAAGCGTTTTTATGAATGTGTTATGTGGGCCTATATGGAAGTAAAATGTAAATACAATGAAATTAACATGGATATTATTAACATTACCTCGGACTTCATACAACTTCCAGGGGTATTTCAGTTATTTTTTTCTTTTAATTATATCGCCGACATTTTCAAGTTTTTTTTAATGTGACCACCAACAGTATTACTCTTGCGCATAACTATTAAGTATGCTGTTCATTTTTTTTTTATATAGTCCACAAGTAATTTTTTTTTATAGAATTTAAAATGTGTTATATTTGCATGAAGTTTTTCTATTTATATTTGCGCTCATTATTGAAAGAATTTCAGTTTAATAAATTTACAACGTGCATTGCGAGCAACTTATATGTTTCACTTCGGTGAATAAAAAAAAATAATAATTATAATAAAAATAAATTCACGAACAAATTTTAGTTTTGTTTAAAATTTTATTTTATTTTAATTTTTTGTTTAAAAACAAATTTTGTTTTAAATGAAAATTATTTTATTAATAATTAAACATATGCTCACTTAGGTGGAATCTTAAGACTAAATTCTAAATACAAAATCAATATCTTATATAACATACTACTTACAAATCATAATTGGCGAAAGTGGATGAGAGGTAACAATAAAAATTTGGTAACCTGTTGACAAATGAGGGTCATTACATTGTTTATGTGAAATGCTGATGCAGTTTGAGAAATGCTCAAATGCAATAGATTTTGTAATGGAAATTACTATGAATTAAAATATTATTTTAATATTTTAATGATTTAGGAATTTGAATTTGGAGCAGTGAAATTAGGAAATTTTGTTTTGCTTATTAAGAGGAAGTTAAAGTATCGTGGGATAAAATATTATTTCGATACTTTAATTGTTCTGCAACTAGAATAGTTACAAAGAATTACGTTTTGTAATTAATGATTGGAAAGTGTCGATTGAAGCCACTATTAAACAAATTTGGTAATATGGGAAGTGTACCGTGGGATAGATAATTATTTGCGACACTTATGAGACATGTACTGTCGAATTTTGCAATTTATTAATAACGATACAAATTTGATCACATAGACCAATTAATTGGATACTGTGAAGTGTTGGCGGAGCCAATGACGTAACCTATCAATGAAAATAAAAGAAAACAAAAGTAGTAGTTAGAGAAGGTAAGAAGTAAAGCTTTTAGGTTTAAGTCTTGTTTGTTTTGTTCAAGCAATTAAGGCGAATTCCACTAAAAGCTGCACTAAAATTTGACTTAGTGAGAGGGGATAGCATTGCCAAGCAGGAATAATCAACAATAAATACCAAAAGGCAAGTCATAGTTTGGTGGCAGTAAAAGTCAAGTGAGCTTTGTAATAGTTCATTCACCCCCAAAATTAAAACCAAAACAAAGACAGGAAAAGTCAGTAACAGCAGGTAGGTAGGTAGGTTGGAGTGGCGGCCCGTTGTGGTACCACAAGGAAAAAGCGATGTTCGTATATAGATAAGGTGATCAGTATACGACCAAAGCCCAACAGAGAGGCAATGACTCCCCCATTAGGTGAATGAGAACCAACCCGACAGTTCTATGAATCTAACTGGGTCCTTCACATTGTAGGATGACAGCTCAGTCAGATCAGTCAGAAAAGGGGCCCCCAAGATTTTTGATCTTCTTCTGGCTAAAGATGGGCACTGACACATGAGATGGAACACAGTTTCCTCCTCGTCCTCAGAGCCACAACCGCGACAAAGGTCATTATAAGGAAGACCCAGTCTCATAGCATGCATCCCTATTAAGCAATGACCAGTCAGCACCGATACCGTAGTACAGAGCAGATCTCTCTTTAGTTGGAGCAGCTGACCCGTACGCTTTTTATCCAAGTTAGACCAAATCGACCTAGAAATGTGACAACTGGGCTCACTTGCCCATTGTTGCTTAGCAATGCTTAGATATTTTTGTTTAATTGTCAGTTTAGCTGTTGCAAGTTTAACGCCAATTTCTAATAAATGAATATCAGGGAGAAGAGCCCCAGTCTTGGCCAGCTCGTCAGCCCTGCAGTTACCCGCTATATCCCTATGACCAGGAACCCAGATAAGTTGAACGTTAGCGCACATAGCTAGGTCGTTTAGGGAAGCACGGCAATTTTGTGTAATAATTAATGAGGCTAAGGTGCTTACCAGTGATTTAATGGCAGCCTGGCTGTCCGAGAAAATTGAATAACTTTCTTCGGAGGTGCGATTGTCGAGGATCCATTTTACAACATAATGGATAGCCATTACTTCTGCTTGGAAGACACTACAGTAGTTAGGTAGTCGAAGCGAGACACTAAGACCTAGTCTTTCCGAGAAAATGCCACAACCGACTCGTTTGTCTATTTTCGAGCCATCTGTGTAGATATCTATTATATTGGGGATAGATACTCTACCAAGGGTCCAGTCTTCTCTACTAGGTATGAGAACTTTAAACCCCTGGTTTTGGTCTAGGTAGGAACACTTATAGTCGATTGATAAGAGTGCTGGTAGATCCTGATTCAGTATGATCGCGTGTCCTATATCAATTCTAGACCAGCGTGAAAGAGCATTTAGTCTAGTTGCTACAATCTTAGCTTCCTGTTTTACAAAAGCCGAGATGGCAGCCAGTGAAGCAGAGTGAAAAGAGCGTTTGTAGGAGTGGAGCGCAGAGCACCAGTGATTTGTAAAGCGGATATTCTCCTTGTTTTGTCAATAATTTTTGAGTGACATGGCTTTTCAGTAGCTTGCCACCAGAAAGCAGCCCCGTAGAGAAGAGTAGGTTCAATAACGGCCGTGTAGAGCCAATTTAAAATACGAGGTTGAAGACCCCAGCTGCGGCCTATAGCTCTTCTACAACAGTAAGTAGCACATGTAGCTTTGCAGACTCTCTCAACCAAGTTTGCCTTTCAGCTGAGTTTAGAGTCCAATATGAGGCCCAGATATTTGACACTCGAGCTTAAGCTCAGTGTAATGTCTTTTATGTTGGGAAGGGAGAAAGAAGGAATTTTGTATTTTCTAGTGAAGAGAATGACCACCGTCTTTCCGGGGTTAATATCAAGATCAAATTCTCTACACCATTAAGTTACCGTGACGAGCGCGGAATTAACAATATTCGATAAAACCTGGGGAAATTTACCCGATGAAGAGATAGCAATGTCATCGGCATAAGCTATTACGCTACATCCGGATTGTTCCAAGAGTTTTAACAAGGTATTAACCGCTATGTTCCACAAAAGTGGGGAAAGCACCCCACCCTGTGGTGTTCCCCGACAGAATGTTCTACATGATTTAACACTTCCGATGTCGGAGGTGATAATTCTTGTTTTGAGAAGGACCTCTACAAACTTCACCAGACTTTCGTCAAGGTTTAGATTTGAAAGAGATTTAACAATACCATTTGGGCACACATTATTGAAAGCGCCTTCGATGTCTAGAAAAGTTGCAAGTGTATATTTCCTGAGAGAGATGGCATGATCAACTTGTGAAATGAGTACATGAAGCGCCGTATCGACAGACTTGGCTTTAGTATATGCATGCTGTGATGAAGAAAGAAGTCCGGGGTTTATAGTGTTTCTGATATGAAGATCAAGAACCCTTTCCAGTACTTTTAGAAGGAAGGAGGACAGACTAATGGGCCTATAATCTTTAGCGCTGCAGTGTATCGTTCTCCCTACTTTGGGAAGGAATACTACTCGAGCAATTCTCCAGCAGCTGGGGATATACATGAGTTTTTTTTTTTTTTTTTTTTTTTGTTTCCCTTTATTATACAACTGCCAAGATTTAGCATTTAGTATACATTTTTACATAATGGAACTTCAAATAATAATTCAAAAACAAGATTAAGAATTACATGAGTGAACTATTAATAGTGAATAAAAACTTTTCTTTAAATTATATAAACTAAATATTATAAAATAATTAAAATTAATGGATAGATGATATA